TATTTTCGGACACGCGCAGTAATAGACACCAGCTTATATTTTCGGACAGAGGAAGTAGTTTATTTTATTCGAATTGACAGCATATCACCACTGGACGAAACGAATGAAGATAAAATACGAGTAATGATGACGTCAAGTTGTCTAAACGTGGAGAATTGTCGAGAAATGTTTCAAAAGTCATCTAGTGAAGTGTCTGTGGGCTACGAACATGTGGACGTTTGAACAGTTTAAGTAGCGTATGTGAAATGACTGCAAAAAAGTGCTTGGCTAAATTAAAGAAGAAGACCGCGCCAGCAGTGAACGCTCAAGCACGATTCGAACCAATGCATAGAACGGATGGTAACCTGTTTTTACATGCTCGACGTTTGATGACCAACAGCTTATTGTTGACAGTCGAGATGAGTTAGAGTCACGAGAAGAGTAATATGTCTGAGCAGGTCGGTGATGTTGTGTCAGTATTGCTTGCACGTATGTGTCAAGAACGTAGAAGGAGTAGCATGCGGAGAGAAATGGAACATTCGTTTCATAGAGCTGATATTGGCGTCATGCGACGTTGTGATATATGCAGCGCTATACAACCCAATTAATTTCGTTATTACGTATCATTCGATGATAGTTTTTCTCAAAAGCGACTTACAAAAACAAAAGGAATGCATCCGGGACCTACACGGGGCTAATATCGAACGAAGCAGACGATCAGAGTTTGGATGAGAAAACACTATGTCTTCCATCGGCTCACAATATGCCGCACACATTGTCAGCAATGCGATCTGAATTAAACGGAATCATGCAAAATATTGTATATCATATATCTAAATATATGTCAATATTTGATCCAGAGAAGAAAAGGGGTATGGAGTTTCATGGAAAGATCTATACCTGTGTTAGTTGCTAACTGAAACGAAGCGTTTTCTTTGCAAGGTGCACGACAACTCCGTTGCACTTGCCGTCGATTCGGCGATTGGGCCATAAACGAATGTATTCTCTGTGAGGCTGAACCACGCCACAAATGAAGCCACAGACAGCGGCGGCTCAATTGACTTGTCCCACAA